TCTTGTACTGCAGTAGGACCTGTCAGACGAGGGCTGCAAACCATTAAAAACCCCAAGGAGAGACTGCCGAGCCCTTCAAGACTGCTGGCATGGCTAAGAAAGGAGTTCCCTTCTTTGACTTCAGGAATTAGTATCTTTGAAAGAACAGCAACCCTCTTTCCATCATCTTTCCCATGTAACTGTTTTCTGCCCCTCTACCATACTAACAGTATTTTGAAGGGTTAATTGATAATCCTTGCTGTGAGGCCTTAATATCCTTAATATTGGAAGACAAAAGTCAAATGGCAGTTACACAGATAAAATTATCTGGTTAGTTTAAGAAACACAAGAATGTATAGCAAATACTTATATACATTTATTTATATTTCCATAGTGTCGCGGAAAGGGACCTGGGGATCATGGTTGATGGCAAGTTGAATATGAGTCAGCAGTGCCCTGGCAGCCAGGAGGGCCAACCATGTCCTGGGGGGCATCAGGCACAGCATCACCAGCTGAGCAAGGTAGGGGATTGTCCCGCCCTGCTCTGCACTGGTGTGGCCTCACCTTGAATGTTGTGGTAGTTTTTGGTACCATAATATAGGAAAGATATTAAGCAATTAGAGAGTGTCATAATTAAGCTATTCGAGAGAGCAAAGAAGATGGTGAAGGGCCTTGAGGGGAAGCTGCATAAGGAGTGGCTGAGGTCACTTGGTCTGTTCAGCCTGGAGAAGAGGAGACTGAGGGGAGACCTCATTGCAGTCTACAACTTCCTCATGGGGGAGGATGAGGAGCAGGCATTGATGTCTTCTCTGTGGTGACCAGTGACAGGATCCAACAGAATGGCTTGAAGTTGCGTGAGGGTTGTTTAGGTTGGGTATTAGAAAGGAGTTCTTCACCCGGAGGGTGGTTGGCCACTGAAACAGGCTTCCCAGGGAAGTGGTCACAACACCAAGCCTGGCAGAGCTCAGGAAGTGTTTGGATGATACTCTCAGGCACATGGTGTGACTCTTGGGGATGGTCCTGTGCAGGCCCAGGAACTGGACTCAATGATCCTTGTGGGTCCCTTCCAACTCGGCGTATTCTGTGATTCTGTGATAAAAGTCAGATAAAATATAAGGCACAGTCTCTAGATGGAAGTAATTTCTACAAGGGTACCAAGAACAGCATTTAAGAGCAAGGCTAAGCTATGAAGCACATCCTTTAAAGGAACCATTTTGAAACAGGCCATTGTATTTCCTGTAATTATTTCTTTCATTTCACCAGTATTAATGGATGGATATTTACTGGTTTCATGAGTGTCCACTTTAGTTAAGCTTCATCATATATTAAAGAAATTGATACAATTCAGGGTATTTGCCCTAAAAGCTAATGCAGGGAAAGCTAGCAGTAGCAAAGTCTTTCTATCAGGACACTTTATTACTGGGGGAAATGCAGCTCTGGGTGAAAGCCTGGTGTAAAATCTGTATAATAGCTAACTTCTGTCAAAACACTCTATCAGCAGCATGGCTGGATATTAGGAAATTAGGGACAAACAAGTCTTAGACATTGCAGTTAGGAAAGAGTGAATTTTGGCGCTTATGAGGAATGTGGCTACCCTGGGATGTAGACACAGTGTGTATACTCTGTAGACGGGAGTATGTGAAAGCCGGAGTTGCGATCGTGCTTTCTGGTAAACTCTGTTTCCTGTGACCCAGGTGTTTATAGTGGTCTGTCTTTGTATAGCACTGAAGCCTTTAAGGTGTGGTTGACCTAAGTGAGTGAATAACCCCACTGAACACAGGGGCCATATCTGTACGCTTGAAATAAAGTGTATGTATGTCTCATGTTGAACTGGCCTTGGAAACACAGGAGATGACTTCTGGGGAAAGGAGAGGAGAAGTGGTGTTTGAGAAGGAAGGCAGAGACAAATTACTTGAGAGAGTAGTTACTCCTGGGTAGTTGCATTCAGGAAAAGAGAAAACAGGAACGTGCTATATCATTGTGTGGAAGCTGCTCACGTCTAGATGTGTGATGTGTCAAATACATAGTAGCACAGACTACTTGGATAAAAAAGTGTGTGTCTCTGAAGTGGATGGGTGCATGATCACAATGAAATTCCATGTTTTTATTCACATTTCATATGGTGAAATAAAACAGCAGTGTAAATAAAACTGTGATATAAGTATTCTTGCAGGAGTTGCATAGGTGAGCTTTTAATATTTAACTTTTGGCATATAAACATGACTATAATTTCTGTAAGCAGCTAGTGACAATTTCTGTGTGTGCTTGTGGGACACAGAATTTCTAGGAAATAAGTTGAAAAAGTGATTGTTGCACGGCTCCTATAAACCCCCTAGTCCGTCCTTTAAGTCTCAGTGTCTCAGAGGCCGTTATGTCTACAAAGGCAGAAGCTGCAGTGCTTTGGTAGCTAGAGGAAGATTTCATTGTATGTATATGGGCCAACCTACACATATGTGTGAGTTCATAACTGCATTTCAGAGTCTATACCATAGAGAGGGAAGGTAATGTAAAAGAGAACATACAGGTTTGGAAAATATAAATGGAAGCCATTTTTCCCCCCTGCTGTTGATAGTTATAGTTGCTAAAAGCATTGCGGTGTATTCTGAAAAAATGAGGGTTACGCAAGTGTAAGCTTTGGAAACTTTGGTTAGACAAGGTCCTGGTGCAAGACAGTAACGGTTCTGTACGGGCTGGAGTGTTTCTTATTGACTGTACTTGGCACAAGGACGAGAAAGAGTTATTCACGATTGGTAGCAGGGAGACACAGTGTTTCCTTCCCCATGAAAACCACTCAGAGTGAACAGATGCCCTCTAATTTGCCATGGCCTATGTCAAGAAGGGTATTTATCACTAATTCAAAAGTATACAGAGAGGTAAATGCAGGAACTGATTTTTTTTTTTTTTTTTACCTCGAGTTTGCATAGGAAAATAATTGAAGGCAAACACTGTACATTATAAGGAATATATGGGTCTGCATTTGGCATTCTTTTGTTGCAGATTACAGACCCAGAGGCCTGATCCTGATGTCAGTGAAGTGAATGGCACATTTCCTATTGATTTCAGGGAAAGAAAGAGCAGACTACAACCCAACATGAGACAGGTGAAAGCTGTTCCTTTAGAAGTATGCTACCCTTTACATTTAGGCCCCCAAATAATTTTTTCCTAGTGGCCGGGGAAGTAGATGGACATGAATTGTTTGTATTAAAAGTGTAAGGAGGATTGTTTAAAGATGTAAATGTCATCTTTAACATTGCTGAACCAAAAATATAAAAGATTCTGCCAGTGCATGAAAGTGAAACTAGCTGAGAACAAAAGTGAAACCAACAGGCGACTCTCATTCCCCAGGCTGAGTAAAATGCAGAAAAGTAAATCCTGAACTGTGATGCTAAACAGTAAATTTGAATTATAAAATTTTCTTTACTTTTATTAGCGTGTGGAAGTGTTGCTAGCAGTCTAGATAAAGATTTCCCCTAAGACAGATGTTTTCTTATGATGGTATCTCTTTAAAAAGTCAGAACCAATTAAAAATGTCTATTTTTCTTGTTTATGATGTTTAGGGACATCTATACACGTTACCCCCTTTTCTTTTCCATGCATTTTCCTTTTTCATGCATTGCATCACAGGCTTGAAAGTCATGTACACTTAAAATGCTGATAGGAGCATGTGCTAGAGCAAAACAGGATTGACCTTGCTTTGCAAAAGTATTGGGGACTGTAATCAGCAAGTTTCTAGAGAAGGGAAAGAAAAGTATCTTTAAAAATATATGAAAATGACTGTAGATTGTGTTTAAGCTGTGAAACACTAAAAAATGAGAGGCAGTGTAGCAAAAGGGAGAGACAGACAGACAGTTCTTCCTGCCTCGTCTAGTATGATCAGAAGGATACAAATGTACAGAAAAGTGGGCAAATACCAAACAAAACAACACCAGAGGGTAAAAAAAAAAAGCATTGAGAGTCATGGAGAAAAAGGGAGAATGGAGAAAATAAGTGGTTTAGATAAGTTAACATTGTGCAAAATTCTCCCTTGTTTCACATTTGTCATTGTCGAGGAAATTGGGTGGAAAAATACATGTGCGGCAAGAGTCCACTGTAGATCTAAGCAGTGTGAGGAGGGTAAAATACGTGGAAGGAGAAGGGTAAGAGATGGCAGGTGTTTTGGTTTGTTTGGTTGGTTTTTTTTTAAAGGCAGTTTAGTCATAAATGCTACACCCTACAGTGCTGAGGCTTTCTGACCATGGTTTAAATTGATAATGCTTAATAAATGACAAACTCAAGCAAGGGTTTTTTTTGAAATTTAGCCCACTGAATTTGTACTCATTATCTTGAACTTTTTTCCCTTTCACATTTGTCTGAAAAAGTATAGAGGGAAAAAGTGGGGGGGAACAGTGTATAGACAGTGATTTTAGCTGGTATTTTCCTTGCATGTGAAGAGACGAGATAGACGTCTCAAAACTACAGGCCTATGGAAATTCTGCAGCATCACAAATAAGTACAAAATAACACAAATCACAGAAAAATTGGTAAAGAAGACACCATATTTATCTGGGAAGGTATTCAGCTTTTAAAGCAGAGAAGGGAAAAGTTGCCGTGGAAAGAAATACCTCAGGACTCTGTCTCTCATGTAAATGGCGTAAAAAAAAATTTCAGTGTATGTGAAATAAATTATTTTTTTCTTTTCAATGTAAGATCATGCCACTTGCAGTTAAATGTTGCTAATGAGATGGAACATGCAGTGGTATACAGTTTAATGCGGTTTAATACTGTGGTATACAGGCCTCTAAGAACTAAAAACCAGGTCGGGAGAATCTGGTACTTCAATTGACCATGTATAGAGGTAATTTTTGGCATGTGCACCTGACTTATCAAAACCAATTTTGAGGACTCTAATTAGAATGCAATAGGAGTTTTTTAATGCTTTTCAGAACCAAGAGATACAAAGCTTTGTGAGGGTCACATAACTTGAACGTGCAAAAATGTGTCCAGGCATAAAATAATTTTAATCTATTCTCTCTTACATTTATAGGGAGCCCGTCACAGCCCCTGTTCTGGACAGAAGGACAGACGTCCAAGGGAAACGGGCATCGTTTCTCAGGTAAGGTGCTGTTACTGACAGCTTCTGATGTAGAGAGAAAATAACTTTTCTGTTCAGATTAAATAATACCTGACCTTTTGGCCTTTTAGATTTTGGAGTTTATTGACATTTCAGGCAAACACAAATATTTTTGCTTTAGTTTGAGAGAGGTGAGGAGGTAAAATATTGTGAGGGAGGGAAGTTAATGCCAAGTCCTTCTGAAGTCCAGTCAGTTGCAGGAGAACAGCAGTGCTTGCAGTGATATACTGGATTTTTCCCATTAAAAGATGCAAATGATAGGATATTATAGAAAGACTGATGTATTTGTGAGCCATGGCGTGTGTTTCAGTTCACCTCATATTAGAATAGCTAATAAATTGGAAGTAGATGCTATAATCTGTGGTTGGTCAAAGACAGGGCTAAAAAAAATAGTCCTTTCTAAATGTACGTGGCTTTATTGTGTTGAAAAGTATATTTGATGTGGTAGCAATTAAAAGTAGTCTGTTTTAAGTTGAAGGAACAAGACTTGTTTTTAAAGTATGCTGGTTAATTAAGCAAGAGTCAGTAAATGGCATAAAGCTAGAGATAGGATGCTTTTTGAGAAAAATGCAATCCGTGATGTCAAATTAATCAATAAATAAAATTCTCTGATCAGGAAAGAATCTGTATTTCTGAGATATTTTATACTTTGCGTAAGCTTTTTATACACCAATAGATAGAGGAGCTGTGTTAAAGTGTTGGACTTGGTACTGTGTTATGGTACATCACTTGTTCTTCCTGATTTGAATTGTTGATTCAACTCTGATAATTTAGACAAGAGAGAAATGTAAATTCTATTTGCCACATGGGATGTTTGTAGTATTTAAAAAAAGAGAGAGATTAAAAATTATTAGAAGTCTCTAAAGGCTATAATGTTGTTCTGTAACCTTTGAAAATGAAAAAATCTAAATCATAATATTTCTACAGGCAAAATAATATACAATATCTAAAAAAAGTATAAACTGCTGTTGGAAAAGTTTTGAAATAAACGATATGTGAAGATAGGTAGTTAGCATTTTTAGGTATTTTTCTTCCCCTGTTCTCTCTCTTTTTTCACAAGGAAAATTGAAATATTTATTTCAAATAGAAAAGGAATAAATAAATACAATTGGAATGAAACATTATGCTTGATATTTGGTGAAATTTGTTTTCTTATAAGTATTTTGGTTTTAAATGTAAGTGCTGTGAAATAGTCCAGATCTCAAAGTTTCTGGAGAGAAAATGTTCCAGCATCTTTGTTCCTACCTGAGGAATACATTTTAGAAGTCTATTTTCTCTGTTTGCAAAATACATTTTTATTAGATCTATGTATTTGGGTTAAGACTTACTTAAAATTACTTAATTAGGTTATACTGAAATTCTAAGTGATTTAAAAAGAAGGATTATGGTAATATGACAAAACATAACACTATTTTCATTGAAATTCTTAAATAAAGCCCTTTTAACACGCCAATTTTAAAAATCTATAAATTTAGGGTGCTAAAATAGTACAAAATATAAAACGGCTGAACTCATAATGAAATGTATAATCCTGTACCAGTGAGCAGGGATTTTGTAGGTACGTCTGGAGCATGGGAGGAGGTCATTTACACCTTAAGTTTGGTTCTGAGCATTTCTCTTGTTGTGTCGTCCTTTTTATGACTTTATTATGTATATGTAAACACTTATAAAATGTTTGTGGTTGATTTATAAAGAGAAAATGTAGAGAAAGAGGTAACAGTGTAGGTGCGCTAAGCTAGATGGGAATTGATTGTGTTTTCCCAGGAAATTTTGAAAAATATACCAAAGTAAAAATTGCTACAGTAAGGAATAAATTCTAAATAATTGTACTGAAATAGCGTGGCTGTGAATTGTCTTTAAAAACCTCTTATAAGTGTGCGAAAAACAGTGCAACATTAAAAAGTTTTCTAATTGTATTTTATTTAGGTAAATCTGTAGGCTTGTTAGGCTGATTTAAGGGACAGGGTACTAAAAAATAAACTTTAAAAAAGGAGCTACATATGTGCTTTTCTCATAGATAGTTTTTTTTTTCTAAAAAGGAAAACGAATGTGTTTCTTTCCTCTGTGTTGTTTATGGTTTGAAATAAATAATAAATTTGTAGTGATTTATTTTTTAAAAAGAACTATTTCTATGAAAAATCTGGCAGTAGGTTTGTTTCACTTGTAATTTAATTTTTGAGAAATAGCAGAATGTTTCTGGATATTTGCATTTGTTTCAGAGGTTGGAGCCTAAGCCAGATTTCTGTGTAGTCTGTCAGGCAGTTGCACGTCTGGGCATGTTACAGTTTGTAGCACTTCAAATTAGATCCATTTGACTTGTATTTGCTGCACGAGGCTTTCATAAAAGGGAAAAAAATTGCAATTAAAATGGAAGTATAGGGGATGAGCTGTCTGTGCGCACGGAGTGTGTTTCGGGGTGCGATGCTCAGCTGTGGAGGGGGTCGGGTGAGACCCAGTGGATTTTACTCTGAGGTGCTGCTTCTGCCTGAACTTGTGATATCTGCACCTCCTACCCCCTGGCCCCCACTTACTTTATAAATGGGTTATGACTCTCTGGGTTATTTTTTAGTTCGCAGCAGGTTAGTTGCATGCACATTGTTTGCTACTTATTTTAAGAGAGGAGCTGTCAAACTGCTGTATGTGTTAGTCATACGTATACTGAGCACCTGTATGGAGAGTGTATGGGAAGGAAGACAGAACAGGAATGTGTTGCGGAGTTTTCGCATTCATTTCTCTGCAGGATAGCTCAGCATTTGCCAGTAACTTTGTCCCAAAGTTTTCTGGGGGTTGTAAAGCTATTTTTCAGGTAATTTGTTTATTACAATTTGCCCTCTCAAACAAAACAAACAAAAAACCCTAAACAGTTGGTAGAAGGTGTTTCAACTGCTTTTTATTATCTGGCAGGGCGCGTGTGCTTAACACCAGTAACAAAGAACCGTGGCTGGGGACCAGAAACCACAGTGCGGGAGCACCGAAAGCCGCCCCAGCATCAGCAGCCCGGGGCCCAACGCTGGGCCGGGCCGGGCCGGGCCGGGCCGGGCCGCTCGGAGCGAGCTCCGCCGCTGGGCCGGGCCGGGCCGGGCCGGGCCGGGCCGGGGGCAGCCCTTCCTCCTGGAGCCGCACGGGAGCCGGGCTGGGGTCTCGGACGGGACCCGCCGAGCAGCGGCAGAGGCGGTCGGGGGGGGCCGTGCGGGCCGGCAGAGGCGCCTCAGCGCCGCAGAGGGTTAACGACGGCGGGGCCGCGGGGGCCGGCGGGACTTGTAGGCGCCGCGGCATGACGGGAACTGGCGGGAGCGGCTGGGATACGGCGGGAACGGCCAGGATAGAGTGGGAGCGGTTCTGACGGCGCCCGCCTGGCCCAGGGTGGTGGGGTCGCCACCGTCCCGGCCGGCCCGTCCGCACTCAGCCGCCGCGCTGGGGCGGCCCGTGCCCGGGCCGGCGGCTCAGGGAGCGCCGGCGTTACCCCCGCGCCCCGACCAGCGGCTTCGGGGCGCGGCCTGGCCGGGTGCGCTCCTCGGGCGGCGGCAGGTCAGTGGTGGGTTCCCTCCTTCCCCCGGGGCCGAGGGTGCCCGGCCAGCCCTGCCCTGCCTCGGTGTCCACGGGGCCGGGCGGCCGGAGCCTCCCTGTGCCGCCCGCGGCTCCGCGCCCGGGCCGGGCTGGCGGGCGGTGCCGCAGGACGGAGCTGCACCAGCCGGGCTCGGCAGGGCTCCCCTGAACCCCTTTCCTCCCGAGGGGGATTCGCTTTGGTTAAACGACACGAGCTGTTCCTCCGCGCTGGCTCCGGGGCTCTCGCCGCACCTGTGGCCACCCGGGGCCGAGGCGCCGGCTGACGGGCTCGCTGCCTGTGCGGGGCTGCGCTTCCACTTCGTGCCGAGCACGGATGCTTTCCTGCGGCCTCCGCCACCAGCCAGCCAGCCTGCCTGCCTGGATAGCAAAGGCACGCACGTGGCAGGAGGAAGGCGCAATTTTTTTATCTGCAAGTTTGGGTTTGCAAGCTTGCTTGTTTTTTTTTTTGTTTGTTTGTTTTGTTTTGTTTTTGTTTTTCTTTTGTAATGTGAAGTGCAAAAATTAAGATGCATAAACGTGCTGAAGCGCGTTGAAGCTACGGAGGGACAAACCCAGGAAGAAAACAGGACTTGGCAGGGTTTTTTCTCTGTGCACAAAGTGGGGAGGGAAGAAAGAAGAGGAAACACGCTACGTGTTAATTTAATTTATGCCAACTGTGGGCCCAAAGTGCAAAATCAGCTTCTTGTTAAACATTCCGATGTTTTAAAGTAACTTGTTAATTAACTGGAGATGTATGAAAGGAATGAAAAACAATAAATCAGTCTGAAGTGAAATTGGTAAATTTTGTTTGGGTTCTTTTGTTTTCTTCCTTACTCTTTGGTTAGCAAGTCTTGAGATATGGTGGTGCCATGCATCAGCAATCAGCTGAACTTGGGGCTGAAGGTGCTTAAACTTCTCATGGGAGTGGAACAGGGAAGATTCTCATTAGGTTGTTTTTCTTTGTAGTAGTAATCCTCTTGAGATTCAGAAGAAAACATAATTTATTTGTTAACAAATAAGTGCAAAAACCCCTACTATTGAGCTCAAACAAAAAAAAAAAAAAGGAACTATGCTGTAGTAGGTTTGTTTTCTATTGCACATGTTACAGTTCAGTTCTGAGAGGACGTATGTGAGGAGCTGTACAACTATGTGTGTGTCTGAAAGCACATCAGATTTTGCCAGTAATCATCACCTGAAATACAGTCCTTAATATATACAGAGATGTAATTCTCAGAAGAAAGAAGTGATGATGACTATTGTTATTTTTAAGGGAAGGTATTGTTCCAGTGGAGGAAAAAAACCACTGTTTTTCTTATTAAAAAAAATTGTTGGCTAGACAGAGAAAAGGGGTAAGTGCCTGAAGTGCCAGCTTTATAATTCCTGGTGGTTTGGACTTGCAGGGTTAAGCTGTTGAAGATGACTTGAGGTACAAAATC